AATCTAATAACTCATCACATGCTAATTCTCTGGTCCTTGATACATGCTATGGATTTCATATTTATTCTGATGTGCAGGGACTAAAAGAAAGTAGGGATGTGGATCACGGGAAGATAAACTTAATCATAGGAAATTAGAAAGTGTCTCATGTGACCAAGATTGGAGTTTATTCTTTATTGCTTAGTAATGGTTTAAATTAGATTTGAATAATTGTTGTTACTCGGCCGATATAGCGAGAAATATTATTTCCTTTCATAGTCTGTATAAACAAGGTTTTACCTTTTCTTTTAATAATGAAATTGGTGGTATTATTTCTTATTACACTTGTGTATTTTATTTTGAAGCATTACCTTGCAATGGTATATATGAAACTGTGATGGTTGTATATAACTTAGGAAATAATGTGTTGCACATTGATTCTTCCAATGATTTGGATAAGGCATGCTTGTGGCATTGTCGTCTTGGACATGTCAACAAGAAGCGCATAGCTCAACTCCAAAAGGATGGAGTGTTGGATTCATTCGACTTCAAGTCAAATGACACTTGCGAATCTTGTTTACTTGGAAAGATGACCAAGTCACCCTTGACTGGTTCTTGTGAAATGGGTGAAGGTTTGTTGGATCTCATACACACTGATGTGTTTGGACCCTTCAGAACCGCCACAAGGGATGCTAACCACTTCTATGTGACTCTTATTGATGATTACATCATATATGGCTATATCTACTTAATCAAGCATAAGTCAGAAACCATTAAAAAGGTCAAAGAGTTTAAGCAAGAAGTGGAGAATCAATTGGGTAGGAAGATAAAGATGCTGCGATCTGATCGAGGAGGAGAGTATCTTAGTATCGAATTCCTAGACCATCTTAAGGAATGTGGAATTGTTTCGCAATTGACGCCACCTAGGACACTGTAACACCCCGTTTTGAAAAGAACTTTGTGGCAGTCTCGGAGGCCCAGGGTATGAGCGATTCGGTCTTTTAGGGTCTCACGATTTATTCAAAAGGTTTAAAGCTTGGGTGTGTTTTCAGGAGTGTAGGGCTTCTATTCACCTTTTCGTGGATATAAAGTTCGTCAGAAATGGACTTAGAATGAAGAAGTTACAACACTTTAAAACATTTGGCATAAATGGTCCCTAATGGAAATGTTTGGCAAGAAAGTCCCATGCATGCAAGGGGAGCATGCACATATCTGGCTGGGTACGCCCAATGTAAGCTGGTGTACTCCCATCATAGTGGAGTAAATGATAGCGGGCATGGGGAGGATTATGCCCACGTACTCTTAGAGACCCTAAAACCTAATTTTTAGAGCATGCCGCTATATAAAGAACATAACACCCCAATTATCAGCCTCCTTCGCATCTTTATACAACCACCACGAAACCCTAACCCTCCCTTGAGTGTTCTTGGAGCTTTGGAGTTCATTAGAAAGCATTTTTTTGTGATTCTGAAGCCATTTCCAAGCAAGTGAAGAGTATAGCAAGGTGGTGGATCAAAGGGGAAGCAGTAGATCCGATTTTAGGGTTCCATTTCAGATCACTTGGAGGTATAAAGCTATAAAATTTATCTAAGAGTTCTTAGATCTAGTGTGGTTTAATTTTTAAGTTATTTTGGTCTAAAGGTTGAAGCTTTTTAGTCCAAATCCGGCTTCTAGTCTAAGGGTTGCCACCTTTAGTGCTAAATGACTCCTTAGGACAGAAAGTTGTCATCTTGGTGGTCTTAATGGGTTCATGCAAGAGTTAAGACCACTTTCATGGAAGTAGAATATCATTTTTGGAGTTTGGACTTGTTTGGGGCATGCAAAGTCACCAAGTCAGTGACTTTATGGATTAAGATATTGGAAAGGACTTGGATCTATGATTGTAGCTTTTGAATCTGAGTATAAAGCTATTAATGGGAAAATAACTTAATAGGGGATTACGCTATGCGTACATGCAGGTACGCCTAGGGTATGCACCATTTGGATAGTACGCTTAGCGTACATAGGAGTACGCCCAACGTACTCATCAGTTATGGGCCTTATGGATTTTTGGCCTCAGTTTGGGCCATGTAGGTGGATTTTGGTCCTTTAGGCCTTAGTGGGCCATCAAGAGTCGAATAATATGGGCCAAGAAGATGTTTGGGCTTAGGGTAAGGCCCATAAGAGGGATTCGGCCCAATTTAGCAAATTGGGCCATTAGTGGGTTTAGGAAGCCCATCCAGTGTTGGGCTTTTATATTATGATTAGCCTTAGATATGGACCAAGTTGGACTAAGGGTAAAATGGTCATTTTACCCTAAGGAGGATTATTGTTCTGGACTAAGTGATATTTTGGTATTGATAGCTTTGGGAGTTGAGAGATCATCAGATCGGGATTTTTGGGGAGGCAACGATTTGGTAGTTCGATTCTTCAGTTCAGATTGCAGTGTGAGGTGAGTTATCTTCACTATATCAATAGGGTCTAAGGCATCAAGGCTGACCCTTTATCTGATTTGTATCTGGGTATTTGCTTGATATGTTTATTGATCTGCTAGATCTGCATCCTGGTAGTTAGGATGATATTATGTTTAGTGACCTGGTTTAGGTCGGTATCCTGGTATATAGGATGATGTTATGTTAGTGACCTGTTAGGTGGGTAGCCTGATTATATACTACTAGAAAAACAACCTTTTACGATGCTCATTGTGCGTCGTAAAACGCTCAGACGATGCGTAAATGCGCGTCAAGAAAGGCCCTGTCATAAAGAGAGACAACGCACTTTTGCGCGTCGTCTATAGACGACGCGCATTTACGACGCGCATTTATGATGCGCATTTATGACATGCGGTTATGACACGCAATGCGTATTAAGGAAGGCCCTGTCATAAAGGAAGACGACACGCATTTGCGTGTCGTAACCTTACGACGCGCGTGTTTATGACACGCAATGTGTATCAAGGAAGCCCCTGTCAGGAAAGGCCGTGTCATAAATGTAGATGACACACATTTTTGCGTATCATAAATTTAAATGTTAAAAAAAGAATATTATTTACAAATTTACTAATTTTCAAATTAAATTTGCATTTAATGACTCATAACAAATAATAAAATACCATATACAAAAAATACAATCCATTGCGAAAAATTTATTGTCATACAAATAACAAACTTTATTTCATATTCATACATATGATTACATTATTCATTAAAAAAACATATACATACATCTTCCCCTTAAATGTTGTTACATGATGTTGGCCACTTCATTGATGGATCACCAAGAGGAAAATCAACAACTGCCCTAAAATGTTTCATGATGTGCCCATACTTATGTCCTGTAACTTTAAACATTTAATAAAGTAAAATACTTCCTAAAAATAAAATTGCACAAGAAACAACACATCATAATGAGAAATTACTAACATAAATGGAAGAAGTACACTATAAATTTGTTTTACCAAGAGTGGCATGGACGATCAGGTGCTACAAAGTTTTTCCAAGCTGCTAAACAAAGACTGCATGCAAACCAAAACATACATACACTATAAATTTAATTACCATACAAATCATATTCATACATACGAGTTTGTTTTACCTTTTTTGCCTCATATCTTTATTTTTTTTATTCTTATTAGCCATGAAGTGTTGGTGTTTTCTTTTCTCTCATTCAATCAACCCTTTGTTTTACTTTGAAAAATTAACAATTTCCCTACCAGTTGACTCTACATCAAATAGAAAAAAGTAAGTCAACCAATAGTCAATGGTCAATACCAACTACAAGTTTTTACTGAAGTAACCTGACACCATAAATACTTTGGTTTAATGAACAGGAACATGTATGTATAAAAATCCCAATTGAAGTACTTTGGTCTAATACCTCCATTTCTACTAAGTGTCCCATCATTATTTGTGAAGGTTGAAGACCTTCAAACGAAAAATTCCCAACAATGTCATTAATGTGCATCTTAAGAACAAGAAGCTGTTGTAGTTCATGCACTAGACAACTATGGCTGATCTGAAATATTTCCCAAATATTTATTTATTCTGAATTATAAAAAAAGAAAAAGAAAAAGAAAAAAAGATAATACTTTTACTAATTCATTGTATACAAGTCTAGCACATTGAAGACAATGATCCAACAACCGAGCTATTTGTCTTCGAACCAAAACTTGAAGTGCAACATATATATATATATATATATATATATATATATATATGTATGTATTAAAGGGTTAAATTATTAATATAAATAAATAAATAAATAAAAATTTAAACCTCTGGCACGAATAAAGCGGATCATTGTTTTCTTTTTCTTGAATTTTTTGCAAATGGATCTTTGATACATGAAAAAAAAAAAGATGAAGGAAAGATAGAGACACACCTGTAGGGCTTCATCACTGTGGTCATCAAGGAGATAGAAAATAAATGATTCCAATATATTGAGTGCCTTGCTATGTTAAATGTAGAAGAAAAGTCATATACACAGTATCTCCATTTGTCATCAGGTATTTTCCAAAGTTGATCAAACAGATATAAGAGCTGATTTAAGTTAAAGAAGATACAAAACATATTTCTATATCATAAAAAGCAAGAAAGATTAAGCAAAATAATATAACACAGAAGGATACAATTGCTTGTTTTGCTACAACCAAATATGAACTTCCACAAAGAAACAGAATGTCAATAGCTGATCTCAGGTAAGTTACCAAATCTTGAACTGAAGTGTTAAATTAGGTGGAAAAATGGAAATCAAAGGTCAACAACAATATATAAATTAGGTGGAAAAATGGAAATGAATTGAAATTTTTTGTTTTTTTATTTTTACTTTTGTTGTTGTTGCTGTTGTTGTTGTCGTCGTCATCATTATCATCGATGTCCATAATGCCTAAATCGTCCTCGTTTGTTTTATTGCCATTTGTAGGACTTCCTGGTTGAGCGAGTGCAGAAACTCCAAAGCACATGAAGTGTGAAAAAAAGGAACTATGTGAAGGAAATAAATCGATTTATAAACTTTATTCTAAAATAAACCAAAAAAATGAAGAATTATATTAATAACCTCATCAACAAGGAGTGGGATAAATATGGTGAGCATTTTGGCATAAGCTTCAGAGCAGTGGAAGTATCGGCATTGTTTACATTTTGATTTGAACCAGTTGAACCTTTGAGCAAAACAGTTGGATTTCTTGATGCTTTTGTAATTGCTCTAAGCTCATTAGCAAATTCACGTGCCTAAAAAAAAGCATTTTTAACTTTTTTGATATTTATTTATATTTGTACGTATGAATTATACTAATTAGTTGAACATACCTCACGCCTTAAAAGTAGATTAAGAGAGCTGCAATAAGCTTTCCTCAAAGGACCTAAACAATTTTTGTCAAGACTCTGCATATAATAAATAAACATAATTTTAACACAAGTTCATTTTTTATATAAAATATTGTTTTAAAGTTTTGTCAAGACTCTGCATTTTTTTATATAAAATATTGCTACCAATTGTAATCGTGTTTTCATTGCTAGAAAAGTCTTTGTTGACTTCTGCACTTATAGTTGTATTGGTCAACGGCTTAACAATGTGTAGTATAATGCAGTCAATGTGTCCCCCTTGTCATTCCTATTACAATAATTAATTAATTAATCATCAACATAATTACTTTAAAATATTAATTTTTTATATAACAAAATAAAGAGCTCACAGGGTGAGAGCAGCTATAAGATTTGGAATAGAGAAGCTAATTCCAATGTTGTATTTAGAACAAGAAACAATGGGCACCAGAACAAGCAAGCGGCTGAAGGCAGCACCACCAGTGGGGGGTTTTGGAGCGGAAAGCTTCACAGCGATTCCTACCTCTGCTAACTCTCACTCTCAGGCAAACACAACACCTAATATACCACCAAATTACAATAATATCCTTCAAACATCAAGCTATAAAGTAGGAAGCAAGATTATAATGTGTTGAACCTGGCACCTAGTTAATTAAATGATCACAAAATAGTAATTACAAAATAATTCTAATCTGTACATGTTTATATAATATATAATATATAATTAATTACCTGAAAGTTAATAACAATGAAGAATTATGGGCGACCTTCAGCTGCATATTTGTGAACAATGTTCCCAGGGCGAATAGCCAGTTGATTTGTGGGCCAGATTACCAGTTTTATCTTCTGGAAGAGTGATTATGTAGTCACATTCCGATTTATCATCATAATCAAAAAAATCATCTGAATAATGATCATCCATTTTTACAAGGTCTGTGTTGGGCTAGAGATTATTTTTGAAGATTGCGTCTTTTGGGCTCGATAGCTTAAGTTGCTTTGTATTCCGGTTTGGGCCTGTCCAGCCGTGAACCTTTTATGTTTTGTATATAAGTTTGCGCTTGCATGCATATTAGGTTAAGGTTTTTAGAGATCTGTGAAATAGCGATTCATCAAGACGATAACAGGTTTCTTTAATCGTTCGTGTAACCTTCCAATCCTCTACAGTTGATGTTCTTAATAGAGCTCTTCTGAGGATTTTGTTTAATCATTCGACACGTTTGATTCCATCTTGACTTATTCATATTATTGCGTTCATATTGTTTATGTTTATATACTTGTTCAAGATCTAATCGATCTTTATAGATTAAAGGTTAGTTTAATCTCATCAAGTGGTATCAGAGCAGGAGGCTGTGTAATCAATACACATCTTTTCTGTGAAAAAGATTTCCATTAGGGTTTTTCCGCAATTATCAATATTTATTGAGCCGTCATCTCTTTATTGACGTATCTTGATATTTATTGTTTTGCCCTAATCTGCTTTATTACAAGTCTGATCTGTGAACAGGTTTTTACGATCATAATGGACGCGACGCAATCAAACCTTATTAATATTTCCAACAGCATCGGTTCAACGACAAAGATTCCAATCTTATACACCCATGACTATGAAGTATGGGCGCATCACTTTGAAGACTACGTGATTGGATCGGAGGATAATGGGTACCTCATATGGGAAGCCATCACCAATGGACCGTTTTCTCATTCTGCATCGTCCAAATCATCAAGACACAAAAGGAGTACAATGATCTGCTAAAGGACGTGAAGGATATTGCACAAGATGAAAAGGATAAATTCCAGTGCAATATTAAGGCGTTAAGGTTGATCAGATTTGCTCTTCAGTCCGACACATTCAGGTTGGTCAGCTCATGCACGACGGCAAAGGAAGTTTGGGATAGACTTCGTGAACTGTACTCTACAGACGAGGATCTTGAACATTCTATTCAAACTTTGCTTTTATCTGAGTTTGGAGAATTCAGGCAAGGAGCCGAAGAAACGGTGACCCAGACGTTTGATCGCTTCAATCATCTTCTCAGCAAGATGATCAAACACGATATTGAAAGGAAGCTTATCGAACAGAAGGTTACTTTCTTGAACGGATTGAGGTCTGAATGGAGAGCAGTAGTTTCCACAGTCAAAGCCCATGAGCAGTTTAAATCATACTCTTTGGCGAAACTGGTGGGTATTCTTAAGTCCCAAGAAAAGATTGTGGTGCAAGAAAAGAACGTCGTTTCTAGTCTTGGTTCGTTGGCCCTCCTATCTAAAAGTAAAGCTGTGATGGAAGATGAAGATCTCAACTTGGAGGAATATGATCTCACGTCTGAGGATTATGCCATGATGGTGTCCAATCCCAAGAGTTCATAAAGAAGAGATTCCCCAGCAACAAAAACCGAAACTGGCAGGGAAGTTACAGCTCTGAAAAGGTGAACAATGAACCGAAGGCTGAGGAGCACAAGAAGGAACCGAAGGTGGATGGCGATTCCGGAGTAAGCTGTTTCTACTGTGGTGGGAAAAACCACTATGCCAAGGACTGTGTCCTTAAGAAGATGGCTGAAAAGGATGATGGAAATGATGAGGAAGCTGTGTTGCAGAAAAGATTGGATGAGTTAAGAAAGAAGAAGTCTACCGCTAACCCTTCTATTAATGCTCTCATTGTGCAGGGTTCGGTTAAAGATGACGAGTTCGGTAGCACGGAAGTTTGGTCTACCGACTCAGAAGACGATGAAGTGAGGAAGCCTACCCATGGAAAGGCTTATGTGGCAAAGGAGGAAAGCAGTGGAGGAAGATGCTTCATGGTGACTGATGTATCTCAAATGAGGGGATACAACACCGATGGAGGAAGCGATGGACCGAAGGTACAGGAGGACATGTGCTTTACGGCCAAACCACTCAGCCAGCAATTCAATGAGCTCGATGAACTGATAAAGAAGGTACAATATGTTTTTATTTCATCCAAAGTACCACCATCCTCATATGAGAAAGAACTAAAAAATGTTAATACAAGAATTTCTCATCTAGATAGTAGCTTAACTCAAACTCGAGTCACCAATTCTAACCTAACTGATCAATTAAGCAGGGTGGCATCGAAAAGTGAGGAGCGGAGAATGTGGATCGAGTTAAAGGAGTCGGATTTAGTTAAAGTTAAAGACGAAAACATTTATTTGCAAAGAGACAATTTAAAATTGTTAAAACAGCGGAATGTTTTTTTGTTTAATTGCTAAACGTTTGTATTCTAATATTACTCAGCTTCACTTGGATTGTGAAATAGGCCAAAAGATCCATCGCATGATTTTGCCCTTCCTAGAGTTTAAGGAGGATGAAATCGATGCCGAAGCCTACAATTGTGAGAGTGTGATATCGTCTGATGACGTCAATCCAACCTACATGTATGGACTGGACAAAATTGAGTCCTTCATTAAATCCAAAGACCACAAGGACATGCTTAAAAATCTTTTGGATGAAAATGACAGACTTAAACTGAGAACCGAAACCATGCAAAAATTTGACTCTTTAAACGCCAACGTAAGCTCAGAAAACAAAATTGATGTTGAGAATGCATCTGAGCTTGACGAGGACGAAAACATAAGTGAAATTTCTGTAGAGGACACGGTTGACTGCTCAGAATTTACTAAAAACGAACCTGAAAACCACAAGAATCTTATTTCTGAAAATTCAGTAGAGTTCGCTCGTTTGTCCCATCAAAAGTCCCCAATATTAGTTGAGAAAGCAGTTGTATATCAAAAGGTCAGGACCACTCCGAATCAAGTATACAAGGTGACAGGAGTAACCGAACATCAAACAGCTGAACTCACAGCTATTGTAAATGAAGACAATGCTGATGGCTGCGATGAGTACTTCTGGGAAGCTCCAATAGATAATGCAAACGAAACCATTGGTTTATCTGAAAGAACCTCCTGGAAGAGCAAAGGAAGATACATACCTGAACCCTTGAATAAGCGGGACAATTTCGATGAGCCAAGCACCAGTGGTACAAAAGATATTCCTCAGAAGAATGATCGTTCGGCAAAAGAAGACATTCCCTCTGCTCCTTCGGCTCAAAGTAAAACTCCTGTAGTTCAAAAGGAACCAGCCAAGGAGACACCAAAAACGAAAGCGAATGTTCATCATCAACCTAATCAGATGAGGAATAGGAAGAGAGAAAGGAACAATAGATACAGGAAGAACCTTTCTGAAAGGAAACAATTCTGGCATTCCCAGAATGCATATTTCTCACACCAAGACAGGAATCTGAAGTATGAAAACAATCCTGTAGGAAAGCCTGAAAGTCACAACAACCGAAGGCAAAAGGTTCGGTTCTGAAAAAGATTTCAACCGAAACCAAAGGTTCGGTTCCAAGGACAGCTCCAACCGAACGCAAAGGTTCGGTTCTGAAGTCAAAAGAGACCAAGACTCTAAGGACGGTCCCTCCAACGATCAAAAGCAAAAGGGTCACCTAGAGTCTCAAGCCAGGAAGTCCTCTCAATCCAAACCCTCTCATTCTAATTCTTCTCGTTCTTCTAATTCTTCTACTTCCACCGATTCGTCTCCATCTTGTTCTAAAGCTAATTCCGCTTGTTCTCAAAAATCTGATTCGTCAGCTGAACAAAAGGGAAAGCAGAAGGTCAATGAATCCAAACCAGAGTCCAAACCGAACACACCCAATCCTAACAAAATAAAAGTTTTTACCATTAAAAGGAAAGATGAAACAACTCTTATAAAACGAACATATCTAGTTGACGTCTCTCTTACTGTTCCCGTTCCCATGCAAAGCTCACGTGGACCCAAGAAACTTTGGGTTCCTAAATCTGCCTAATTTTTGCAGGTTATAAGTGACGAGCAGTTCGACGAAGAATGGTACATCGATAGTGGCTGCTCACGTCACATGACAGGGAGGAAAGAGGAGCTTAGGGAATACAGATCTCTTGCAAATGGTGGCAATGTCAAGTTTGGAAATAATTCTTTCGGCACCATAAAGGGATACGGGATGATAACAAATGGGGACTTTACTATAAGGAAGGTGGCTTATGTGGAAGGACTCCAACACAACCTCATTAGTGTATCTCAGCTTGTTGGAGGTACAGGTCTCAAAGTCTCGTTCGATGATGAAGGTTCTGAAATCATAGAGAAAAAGACAAAGAAAGTGATTCTCAAGTCAGAGCGAAAGGGTGAAATGTTTCCCTTAAACCTTAAACCCATCAAAGGAAACCCAGCTATATGCTTGTTGTCAAAAGCTCAATCCGACGAAAGCTGGTTGTGGCACCGAAGATTATCTCATCTCAATTTTAAAGATATCAACCGACTTGTCACTGGAGGTCATGTTAGGGGTCTTCCATTGCTCAAGTTCGACAGAGATCATTTGTGTGCTGCATGCGAAATGGGGAAGCAGAGTCGTCAAAGTCACCCATCTATAATCAACACAAAAGTTGTTGAACCACTTGAATTACTTCATATCGATTTGTGTGGTCCTTCATCTATCGAAAGCATCGGTGGTAGCAAGTATATTCTTGTTATTGTTGATGACTTTTCACGATTTACATGGGTATTCTTTCTAAAGCTCAAATCTGAAGCGACTCAAAAACTGAAAGTGTTTATCAAGCAAATAGAAATACAGCTCAAGAAGGTTGTCCGCAACATCAGGAGCGACAATGGTCTTGAATTCAAGAACAGGGAGTTTGAAGAGTTTCTTGCAGAAAAGGGAATAAGTCACAATTTCTCAGCTCCCTACACACCGCAACAGAACGGAATAGTCGAAAGACGAAACCGATCTTTGTGTGAAGCTGCCCGAACTATGCTAAGTTTCGCTTCCTTACCTCTTTATTTTTGGGCTGACGCTATTTCGGCTGCTTGTTTTACACAGAACAGGTCCTATCTCAACAAGCGATTCACGCTCACTCCATATGAGATACTAAACAACAGAAAGCCCAA